CAGCATAAAACCTTTGCATGGCGCCGTGAGCAGGGTCAGCTAGTCCATTGTAAACTGCTGCACTGCGACCAGAGTCAGGGACGTAATAGGAGAGGGTTGTCAGCCACTTTCAGCACACTCATTTTATCAAGGTGCGCATGACCACAGGGTTTTAATACAATAATAGCCATTTTGCCGACCCTTACGGTGAGCCCTTTCCATGAATTATCTCTTTGTATCAGAATTCCTCTGATCATGGTACCATTGGAATCCATCTTAATGTGGTAGTGACAAGGCTTGTTGGGTGCTAACTGTTGGGGGCTGAGGGGTCAGCCTGGTGTGGAATTTGGGTGAGAGATGGGGTGGTTAGGGAATGTTCCCCCAAGGAGATGACACCTGAGCTGCTTTTTAATGGCATACACTTCCTGCTGGCATGGCTAGAGATAGACGGTCAGCATCCACAGTTTCACATTTATCCAGATATCCTCTTACTCCCCCACCTCCATCTCCAGTGCAAATTCTAAATCCATTTGATCCTGTACTGGACCTTCCGAAGGATGGGAGTGCAGGAAGTTTTAGATTCAGTGGTGATGTTTGTGTTTTGTTTTGTTGTGTTTGGTTCCTGAAAGGCCACTTTGGTAACTAGGCACACTTTGGGAGTCTCTCCAGTAAGCTGGTCTCAGGAAATAGTCTTTGGTTTAGCAGACTAGTTTGGGTGCTAAAACACGCCTTACAAGGATGGTTGTCTTTGTCTCCTTGGCCCTTCTGGCTCTTTACGAGAGAGAATTTTCAGGCAGCGTAGGTCGGGGGCTTATGGAAGCCCATGAGAGGGTGTAGCCAAACCCATGTGGGAGAGAATGGTTCTGTTGTCTCCCCGCAGCATTGGGTGCAAAAGGGAAGACAGATGGTCAAAGAGGGGGCTTTCGGGTACATGAAAGGATCACCTATCAGGAAAAGGAATTTTCTCAATATCTAGCCATTGTGCGGATTCTTTTTAAAGATATAAAAGGGACACCAGAAATATAATGACTCCTGATCATTACATAAGGAATAAACAAGGCTTAGCGACCCATGTGGCTCATGGGACTGGCATTTCCATGAGGCAGTCACTGTAAACCGTGTCCTCTCTCTCTTTCGATGAATGTCCCTCCCCCATTTTTAATCCAGGTAGTTTATGAAACAGCGAGAACTCATAAATGCACATGCAGGTGCTGAACATTTTCTAAAAACCCACAGCGGCACCCCTACACACCTTAACTCCAGATGACCAATACAAGGTCATGTATCCAGAGTTGCATGAAGTTGAGTCTGGATTTGAACTTGAACTGCTCTCGAGTAAGCATTTACTATGTGCCAGGCTTTAGAATATACCCTTTCCATGAAATATCTCATTTAATCCTCACAGCAGCCCCATGAAACACAGCACTATTTTCCCCATTTTACACATGAAAAGATAGGTTTAGAGAGTTTGTGTCACCTTGACCAAGGTCCCATAGAGAGCTTGTGTCTCTGTGACTAAGGTCACAGAGAATAGGTGATAAATGAGCCTTCAGAAACTAGGATATGATGGAGTTGAGATGTGAGCCCTGGTCGCCCTGGTTCCAAAGCCTGTGATGGTAACCACCACATTGGCCCGATCGCTCTGTGCCAGCAGTCAGTGTAATGGATAAGCTGAGGTGCTTCATTACTCAAACTCCCTCCTGAGCCACCCCACCAGGTTGGCAACTTAAAACTAGAAAAGTGTATGTTGATTGCGTATTCCTTATTTTGGATCATCTTTCATGTTCAAAAGTGACTGGAAACTGACCAAACCCATGGAGTCTTCGTAAGAACTACCTTTGTCCATGTTTAAAGGATTCTTTGTTAACCACTCCACTTGGGAGTTTAAAACAATTCCATTTCTCTCTCCACACAGAGTAAACATCTGAGTGGTCTCACTGAAACTCTTTTGTTGATATATAGGAATATCCCAATCTTGTGCCATGAATAAAACATATGGTGCTTCATCTGTTCTCTCTTGCTTCGTATTAGTTCAGAAATTTAATTTTAGAGCATGTAATCCCTCTGTTTAGAAATGCTCATTGATGGAGCCAGAGCTGCAGCCATGGCACTGTTCTGTCATCTGGAATATCGTCATTAGATTCTGGGCTACTGACGGCCAGATGAAGCATAAATAAAAGATGCCACATTTCCTCCTGAGACTTAAGCCTCTGCACTTGAATGCATTCTTGGAGTGTGTCTCTTGCCCCCATGCTAAGGAAGTCGGGAAGTGGGCAGAACGACAGATAAAGTGGGAGGTTCAGGGGGAGAAGTGATTTGGTGTGGTTAAGGTGCAAGTGTGTGGCAAAGCCAGAAGCACTCAGAGGTTTATGGAATGCCCCTTGATGGTGATGAAACTCTCTCTGCCCTCCCTTGTCATTCAAAACTCAAGTGTGCTGTTTGATTGACCTCACAGGTCCATTGTAATGTCAAAGGAAATGAATGCAAATTTTTTTTGCTTATTGACAGAACAAAAAATTGTTATTTTGTGTTTCCAAGCAATGCATTTCTAATTTGTGTGATGAGAACACTCATTGCCAAGAAATTGTGTGATATTTGCTTAAGCTTCATTCTAAAATTGTGAAGCTTTGGAGAGTTAGCCCAAAGTGTTTATTTTATGTGTACTGAGATATTCCAGTGCCAGGAGGGCAGAAGAGATGGTGCAAATTGTTCTTCAGATATAATTAAACCTAGGTCACATTCAAGTCCATTAAGCAAGAGCCTCAAATCCTTTTAATTAATGGGTTCAGATTGGTTGGTCTGAAGGAGCTAATTAATTTTTTTCCAGGATTTTCTGTTTAAATAGACAAGCATTGTGTTTCCTGCATTTCCTCCAAAGTTCTTTGCAATTTGGAGTTGATGAAGGTATCAGCTCCTTATGGCAGGCCCTGATTCTCAGAGGCCAGGAAACACTGAGCTCCGGGCTCAGATCAAACGTGTCTGCATGAAAACTTCATCCGCATCTTCCAGCATCTTTCTTCTCAAAGGGATCTGGAAGCCCTGTACCTTCCTGTGCCCAACCTCAGCCTGACAGAGGTCATCTTTCTCCTGTACAGCTGGTACATCCTCCCCAAAATCGGATGGGAAGACAGATCATAGAAATCAAAGCCTCAAGGATGGGAGCCCTGGATCTTCATATTTAACAAAGCTGGGATGTCTTGGGACTAGTACTTCCCCATTTCTTTCCATTTCTTCTGTTGCTATTGGCCTAGCCCCACTGAGGCACATGCTCAGGCCACACCCTATACACAAAAATTCTCTCTGATAGTCTCACTCCTGTTAGCTACAGAATAAGAGTAGGATCCAGAAACAGGGCTTCCAAACAGCATGAAGATGCACCTTGGATCTTACAGCTATCAGGCTCTTGCTTCCGTGTATCCCTCCACCCCCGTGTGTTCAGTGGTTCTGCCGTAGAGAAATGACCCAGCCAGCAGTAGGAGCTCTGCTGGCCTCTCAAAGCCTGTTTCCTCTTTAAATACCCCCGCCTCATGCCCTCATGGATGTTTCTGACAGTGTAGCCAGTGGTCTAAAGATTTGTGGGAAATGAAAGTTTATTCCTCCAAACAAGAAAACGGTTAAGTACCCTGTCCTGTGCAAAAGAATATACAGTTATAGGATAAAGGATCTCTCCTGAAAACCAGAGATCTTAGTTTCTTGCCATGGAAAAATTCCCTCAGGGGCTACATAACTGTCCAATGTGTCCAATATGGGTTATGCTCAATGTTTGGCCCTGGAATTGTGTGCCCAACACATACATTCTGTGTCTTCCACTGTTGCCCAGAGAAGCCAGCAGCCTGGACTCAGGGCTCCCTAAGCAGAAACACTCTAAATAATCATTCAATTAAAGCAGCTGCAAAGGCAGGATTGCTGTGGGGTGGGGAGGGCTGGGGGAAGGAGGATCTAGCTGGCAGCCTCATTCAGTTCTGCTGTGTCCTCCCTTCCCTCCCGGGGCCTGGCCAGTCAGGTGTTCCTCAGTGTGGTGGCAGAAGAAAACAATGCCCTGGAGCCCAGTTATCCTTTGTCACTTGATGTGCCTCTGGAGACGGGAGTGATTTCAGGACTGGCTCTCGATGGGGGTAGGGAGAGCTCACAGCTCACCAAGCCCAGGCTTGGGCCCTGCCCATCGATAACCTGCAGCCCTCCAGCAGTGTGAAATGTCCTGCCGTGAGGAATCGCAGTGAGGCGTTTCCATGAGCTATTTCATTTCTGGACCCAGGAATCAGTGCCACTGAACTGCAGCAACTCCCCTTTGTCACAGTTGCTCCCGGCTGCGGTGGCCGGCAGGACTCTGATGGTGTGTTTTTGCTGCCATCTATTGTCTGCTGTGGGGAAGGCACACGGTTTGCCTGCTGGAGGAGGAAGCAGCCCTGCCCGCCTAGCAGCCTGGCACCCTTGCCGCCACACATTGAGGGGAAAATAAAAACCAAGATGTTGGTGTCTCCAAGTGAAAACCCCATTATGAAAACCTGTGTTTACTGACCGACCATCATTGTAAAGCAGCTCCATTTGAACTGTAATCAAACTACCAAGTGACCTTTCTGTCCCTCTGCCCATCATCACTGAAAGGGCCTATTGTTCCTTTGGTTCAATGAAGAAACCTTCTGTTTAGTTAAGCAAGTGTTTTTCCAACCATGTCTCCTGGTGAGTTACAGAAAGATGATTGTTGCATTTTGGTTTTTGTTGTTTTTATTCATTTAATACCCCCTCTTTCCTCCCTCCTCAACAGCCCATCCCAACACTTCTTTACTTTTTAAGCAAAGGAGAAAGGAATGACCTGAGCAGCACCGTGAGCCTTGGGAGGTCCCTGGTCCCTATGAAAGCTGACTTCTCTTGGCCCTTGGCCCCCCCCGCCCCGTGCCTGGGGGCCCTGCCGAGTTTCTGAGGCTTCCGCACAGGAATGGGGCACTGAACAGCCCCCTGTGAGCCAAGGACGCCATTTCTGACCAATGTGCTTACACGTAGTGTGCTTTTCTGTCTTGCAGTTGTTCGTTGGACTTGGGTTTCCTTATGAGGGCCCAGCTCCCCTGGAAGCCATCGCAAATGGATGTGCTTTTCTGAATCCAAAGTTCAACCCACCCAAAAGCAGCAAAAACACAGACTTTTTCATTGGCAAACCAACACTGAGAGAGGTAAGCATCTCTTAAAATCCTTTTACTTTCAATAACATGATAATGGCTATTTATTGAATGCTAGGAGCCCATTTAAGCTAATAGCCTTGGACAGCAGGTGTTATCAACTTCACTTAACACAGGTGGGTGGAAAGAGGGTGTGCAGGTGCTCAGAGAGGAAGCACATGATGACTCCCCTTAGGGGAGTGAGCAGCGCCAGGCAGTGGCAGCACCAGGGTTTGAATCGATTTCTGCCTCTCCACAAAGTGTGGGGTTTTTTTTTTAGAAGATTATATGTATTTATTTATTTATTTTTAGAGAGAGGGGAAGGGAGGGAGAAGGAGGAGAGAAACATCAGTGTGAGAGAGGAACATAAATCTGTTGCCTCTTGAACATGCCTCGACCAGGGACCGAACCTGCAACCTAGGCATGTGCCCTGACCAGGAGTCAAACCCGGCAACCTTTCACTTTGTGAGACGATACCCAACCAACTGAGCCACACCAGTCAGGGCAAAGTGTGGGATTTTCTTCACTCTGCCCCAACTATCTATCTTAATTCAAAGAGACATCCCCAGCTGAATGAGCTGAACTCTGGTTTTCTGAATGTTTAGTTGTAGAATAAGGAAGTCATCTGGTTACCAGGTGTTCCTGAAAGACCTCTTCTCCATGATGAGTTGTGGGGTCCTTGAAAAAAGATCCACTTGGAGAAATAGGATGTATCGTGGGTGACTGAAGTAGTGTGCCTGCTACGTTAGCCCACCCTCAGAAGGCACCACCCTGAGAAGTGATCCAGCCTTTGCAGAAGCTTCATTTGAATTGCCTTCAGAGATCCTCTTGAAAATCCACAGAGGGGAATAATGAATCACCATTGGAGGCAGTCAGATTTGATTTGGGACAATAAACAAAACTCCTTTGGAGCCTGTGAGTGACCAAGCTGGGTGTTTTTCTGCTCAGAAACTGGTGTGTGCAAGAAACCATGACATTGATTTTTTTATTATTCAGGTCTAGAGGGAGGAAGCCTCTGAGTCTTGGCATCCTTCCGTGGCCTTGACCTTTGGGGCCTTCTGCTGGGCATTGCACTGCTGGGCAGCCCTCCCATGACAGAACCACCTGTAGCAGTGCTGGTTTTCAGTTCTGCTACTTCTGTACACTTCTGGGTCGACTCTCCCCCACCCCCAGATACTACATAAAATGCCTTTTCCATGAGTATTCTTTACTTATTAGCAATCTTACCAATTTATAGAGTTGTTTATTTTCAGAATTCTTTTATTTGAACCTCCTAATCATTGCTGAAATGGTCAAAGGAAGTGAAGGAAGAGTAACAAGATCCACAGATGATCCTCAAAAAGCTGAACTTATGGCCGAGATAACCTTGGACAAGGGTTCACTGGGTGTGTTTACTTGCTTGCTCTTTCTTCTGCTAATGTGACAAATCTGAATTCTTCGTTTTGAGGAGTAGTTTCCTTTTGGAAGGTCATTCCTGAGTTGCACCCAGGGCCCATGTGCAGTCTGGCACTGAAGAGTGGTTCTTTGGAGAGGCCTGGAAAGGCGCTCCCGGCACTGAGAACGTCTGAGTGCAGGGATCTCTGCCTTCTCGAGTGGCCGACCTCTTCACAACTTTGGTATTTGGGATAGAAAATATGAACGAATAAATGATCCCTATGTTTTAATTTAGGCAAAGGAAATCTCTGGAGTTCTATTTCTTTATACATAGTATAATTATTTGTAATTTTCTATGTTTTTACTTTTTTGTGATAACATGTACATAATGTAAAACTGACCATTTTAATGATTTTTTATGTGTACAATTCACTGGTATTAAGTAGATACCCATGTTGTCCAACCATCAGTGATTTCCAGAACTTATTTATCATCCCAAACATAAACTATACTCATTAGGCAGTAACTTTATATCCTCCCCTCTCCACAGCCACTGGTAACCTTTCTTCTTTCTATAAACTTACAAACTGTAGATACCTAATATAAGTAGAATTATACAGTATCTGTCCTTTGTGACTGGCATATCTCACTTACCGTGATGTTTTCAAGGCTTGTTCAGGTGGAAGCCTGTGTCAGGTTCGTTTCTCTTTAAGAGTGAATAACATTCTGTTCTATGAGTATATACCACCTTTTATCTTGCCATTTTTGGGGTTGTTTGTTTTTCACTTTTTGTCTGTTGTGAACAATGCTGCTCTGAACATTGGTATGCAAGAATTTGCTTGAGTCCTTGCTTTCACTTCTTTGGGGTGTGTACCTATAAGTAGAATTGTCAAAATTTACTTTTTATGTATTTTGAAATAATTTTAGTTTTAACAAAAAGTTGGAAAAATTGTACAGAGTTTGGGTAATCCTTCTTTCAGCCTCTTCTAACGGTAACATATTACAAAACAATAATAGTTATCAAAACTAAGAAATTAACATTGGGCCCTGGCTGGCATGGCTCAGTGGATTGAGCGCCGGCCTACGAACTGAAAGGTTCACCAGTTCAATTCCCAGTCAGGACACATGCCTGGGTTGCCAGCTAGGTCCCCAGTTGGGGGCGCACAAGGGGCAACCACACAGTGATGTTTCTCTTTTCCTCTTTCTCCCTTCCTTCCCCTCTCTCTAGAAATAAATAAATCTTTTTAAAACACAGAAATTAATGTTGGTACCATAGTATTATCTAAACTACAAACTTTACACAGACCTCACCAGTTTTTTTCACTAATATCATTTTTGTGTTCCAGGATCCAATTCAGGATCTCACATTGCACTTAACTGTCATGTCTCCTTAGTCTCCTCCAGTCTATGACAATTCTTCAGCCTTTCATTGTCATTCATGACCTTGACATTTTGAAAGAGTATAGCTCTGTTTTTGTACACTGTCCTTCAGTGGCTTTGGCTGATGTACTCTCAGGACTCGTGTGAGGGCTCACGTTTTGGCAGTAATACCACAGAGGTGACCGTGCCCTTCTCGGTGTGTCATGTCAGCAGGGGCATCGTGTCAGTGTCTCTTATTACAGGTGATGTTAACCCTGATCACTTGGTTATGGTAGTAACAATAAGGTAATACTGCACAGTTACTATTTGTCTTTATATTGGGGAAAATACTTTGATATGATGCAAATATCCTGGTTCTCCTCAAACTTTTGCCCACTTATTTTTACTGTGTGTCAGTGGACCTTGCCTGTAGCAATTATTATTGTGGTACTCTATTAGTGATTTTCTTTGCCCTCATCATGACTTGTTTTATTTTATTTTATTTTCATTTTCTTACACTTCACTTTATTGTACTTCACAGACACTGCATCTTTTTATTTATCTTTATTGTATTTTTCCCATTACCATTTAGTCCCCTTACATCCAGCAGTCACCACCCTGTTGTCCATGTCCATGAGTCCTTTTCCTTTTTCTTCAGTCCCTCCACTTCATAACCTCACCTCCACCCCCGCTGTCATCCTGCTCTCCATCTATGAGTCTGCCTCTGTTTTGCTTGTTAGTTCAATTTATTCATTAGATTCCACATAGAGTGACATGGCATTTGTCTTTCTCTGACTGGCTTAGTTCACTTAGCATAATGTTATCCAGGTCTATCCATGCTGTCACAAATGGTAAAATTTTCTTTTTACAGCCAACAAGTATTTCATTGTGTAAATGTCCCATAGTTGTTTTATCCACTCATCTGTTGATGGAAACTTGGGCTGCTTCCATATCTTGGTGATTGTAAATAAGGCTACAATTAACATAGTGGTGCTTATGTTCTTTCAAATTAGAGTTTTGGGTTCCTTCTTATATATTCCCAGAAGTGGGATTCCTGGGTCAAAAGGTAGATTGATTTTTAATTTTTTGAGGTACCTCCATACTGCTTTTCACAGTGGCTGCACCAACCTGCATTCCCACCAACAGTGCAAAAGGGTTGCCTTTTCTCCATATTCATGCCAGCACTTGTTGTTTGTTGATTTATTGGTGATAGCCATTCTGACAGGTAGTAGATATCTCATTGTGGTTTTAATTTGCATTTCCCTGTTGATTAGTGACCTTGAGCATCTTTTCATATGTCTGTTGGCCATCTGTATGTCCTCCTTGGAGAAGTGTCTATTCAGGTCCTTTGCTCATTTTTTGATAGGGTTGCTTGTTCTATTGGTGTTATTTTTTAAGTACTTTATAAACTTTGGATATTTATCCCTTACCAGACGTATCAGCAAATAGGTTCTCCCATTTTGTGGGTTGTCTCTTTATTTTGTTGGCGATTTCTTTTGCGCTGCAAAAACTTTTTAGTTTAATGTAGTTCTGTTTATTTTTTCTTTTGTTTCCCTTGCCTGGAGAGATAGACCCAAGAAAAATTTCTACAAGGAATGTCAAAGATTTTGCTGCCTGTGTTTTCTTCTAGGATTTTTATGGTTTCTGGTCTAACATTTAAGTGTTTGATCCATTTTGAATTTATTCTTGTGTGTAGTGTAAGGAGGCGGTCTAGTTTAATGCTTCTGCACATATCTGTCCAGTTTTCGCAACACCAGTTATTGAATAAACTATGCTTAGCCCATTGTATGTACTTGCTTCCTCTGTCAAATATTAATTGACTATAAAGTTACGGGTTTATTTCTGCACTTTCTATTCTGTTCCATGGATCTAGGTGTCTGTTTTTATGCCAGTACCATGCTGTTTTGATTACTATGGCCTTGTATATTTGAGATTAGGTAGCATAATTCCTCCAACTTTGTTTTTCTTTTTCAGAATCACTGTTGTTGGTATGTAGGGCCCTTTGTGGTTCCCTATAAATTCTTGAAATATTTGTTCTAGTTCTGTGAAATAAGTTATTGGAATCTTGATAGGAATTGTGTTGAATCTATAGATTGTTTTGGGTAGTATAGACATTTTAATGATGTTAATTTTTTCTAAGAACATGGTATGTGCTTCCACTTATTTGTATCTTCTTCAGTTTCTTTGTTTACTGTCTCATAATTTTCCATGTACAGGTCTTTTACATTCTTGATTAGGTTTATTCCTAGGCATTTTATTCTTTTTGAAGAAATTGTGAATGA